CCGGTCCGGTACGGGGGCGACACTGAGGGTTGTGATCCATTGCCGGACACGGAAAAAGACACACACACACACACACACACACACAAAAAAAAAAGACAGTATAATATTGGTGAAAGAACAGACAAATAGATCAGTGCAGGAGAAGACAGAGCCCAGAAACAGATCTTCATAGTGCAGTCAACTGATCTTTGACAAAGGAACAAAGGCAATACAATGGAGCAAAGACGGTCTTTTCAACAAATGGTGCTATAACAATTGGACATCCACGTGCAAAAAATGAATTTAGACACAAACCTTACACCCTTCACAAAAATTAACTCAAAATGGATCAGAGACCTAAATGCAAAATATAAAACTATAAAACTCCTTGAAGGTAACATAGTAAAACACCTAGATGACCTAGGGTATGACTATGACTCTTTAGATACAACACCAAAGGCACAATCCGTAAAGAAAAGAATTGATTAGCAAGTATCATTAAAATGATATCTGCTCCACAAAAGACAAAGTCAACAGAATGAGAAAACAAGCCACAGACTGAGAGAAAATATTTGCAAACGACACATCTGATAAAGGACTGTTATACAAAATATACAAAGAATTTTTAAAACTCAACAATAAGAAAAGAACCCAGTTAAAAAATGGCCCAAAGGTCTTAGCAAACACCTCATCAAATAAGGTGTGCAGATGGCAAATAAGCACAAGAAAGGATGCTCCATATCATGTATCATCAGGGAAATACAAACTAAAACAATGGTTACTACCACCTACCTATTAGAATGGCCAAAATCCAGAACACTGACAACCCCAAATGCTGACAAGGATGTGGAACAACAGCAACCCTCATTCATTGCTGGTGGGAAACCAAATGCACAGCCACTCTGGAAGACAGCGTGGCAGCTTCTTATAAAACCGAACACACTCTTACCACACAACCCAGCAATCACACACTCCTTGGCACTTACTAAAAGGAACTGTACACTTACATGTACACAAAGACCCCCACACAGATGACTGTAGCAGCTTTGTTCAAACTTGGAAACAACCAAGATGTCCGTCAGTAGGTGAGTGAATAAATAATCTGTGGTGCATCCAGACAATGGAATATTATTCAGTGCTAAATAAAAGCCATGAAAAGCCATGGGACAGCCTTAAGTGCACATTAATAAGTGAAAGAAGCCGATCTGAAAAGACCGCGTTCTATATGGCATTCCAATGTTATGACATTCTGGAAAACGTGAAACTATGAAGCCAGTAAAAAGACCAGTAGTTTCTAGGGATCCAGGGGGAGGGAGGGATGAACAGGCAGAGCACAGAAGAGTTTAAGGGCAGTGGAACTGCTCTGCGCGGTACCGTAATGGTAGACACACATCATCAACATTTGCCCAAATCCACAGAATGTACAACATCAGGAGTGAACTCTAGTGCAAACTATGGGCCTTGAGTGATTACAATGTGTTAGTGCAGGTTCATGGACTGCAATAAATGGGTGGGGGATATTGATAATGTGGGAGGCTGTGCATGTGGGGGCAGGGGTATGCGGGAAACCTCCGCACCTTCCTCCCAATTATGCTGTGGACCTAAAACTGCTCTAAAAAATAAAATCTTTTAAAAATAAGATAAACTTAGAATTGTACTTACTTGTTAAGTTACATAAAAACAGAGTTAATGCCCTTAACTAAAAGCACCTAGGATTCAATGTAAAAACACAAAAATATCCAAGAAAAACGGCCACGGTATGGAAATTCACAGCAGCACAAGAGGGCAGTAAAGATGCTGAATCTCATTTATATGAGAAATGCAGAGTAAAACCTCAATGAGGTAATGATTTGAAAAAGAACGCCCATGTGATGCAGATGTGAGGCAAGAAGCTCATTCTCACAGTAGGAAGGTAAGTGAATCATTTTGGAGGTCAACTTTGCAACTTAAAAGTTAAAATATATCTACCTCTTTTTTTTCCTACTTCTAGAGACTTATCTTCAGAATTGCCCCTTCCTCTCCCTACACATCCAAGTGTACAAAGATAAATATCATGAATGTTGATTTCAGTCTTGTTTCCAATGTCAAAAATGAGTAAACAACCTAAAAATCTATATCGATAAGGGTTTAGTTAAATAAATCCTGCATTAGTTAAAAAAAATAAGGTAGATGCCTATGTTCTAACATAGGAAGATATTAAACTGTTTTTTTTTTTCCAACTGTAAGTAAACTTTATTAGACAAAATTATTAGCAAGCAGCACAAAA